GGGGAGACTCGGGAAAGGTTGGGAGAGAGAACAGCTGTTAAAGGAGAGCAAAACGAACCCAACACGCACCTTTTTTTTCTTTTGTCTCTGCTGTTTTCTGGCGTTGCATTTGCTGTTTGCAGCTCACTCCTCGGCTCCAAGGGGCCGCGTGCACGCCCACTCGCCTTTCCACAGTGATGCACACAACGTTTGGTGCTTTATTTGTTTTATTTCATTATTTTTTTAAGCAAAAACAAACGTCCAGCGTCCCCATTTTTAGCCAGATCAGACGTCTACACCGTGTGTGCTGCCATGGCATGTCAGGGTCCCTTTTTTTAAGAACATCTTTTTAAAAAGAGCAGTATAGGTTCTCATTTCCATTTGAATGGCCGAAGCACGTGCCAGGGTGCACGGGTCAAGACCCCCAGGGCACGGACAAAAAGAGAAAAAAAACATGGCGTGGAATGAGGGTGGGAGGCCTCTGCTCATTTTTCAATAGACTACAAATTTAGTCTGGCCTAATCCAGGAGTAGAAGTACCCACACCCCCATTCCTGCTCACACAGCCTCTCTGTAAACCTCCATTAACAGGAACACATAGATTTATCTCTATATATTCATGTTTTTAAGGATAACTACGTGTCCAACTAATAGATTTCCCTCTATATCTTCGCTAAACGTTCATAATTTCTTAGGATTAGGCCTCCTGCTCTCTTATGACTCCATCCAAACTCATGAATGTAGAAAATTTAAGGGGGGGTCAATTTATTGTTTACCTCTAAATGAAAAGTATTTAAGCCTGTGCTAGAGACCCACAAAGGCTTAAAAAAAAAACCCTGTAAATGTGTCTCTGTGAGGCAATTAGTGAGGGGGAACCTGTCTGAGCTCTGTCCGGGGGGCTAAAAACCCCCCCCCCCCCCCCCCCAGACCCGCAGGATCTGCCTTCCCCTTCGAGGACAGTTCAAGGTGGTGGACTGGAGCTTTCCCAATACATACTTAATAGGATTCTTGTAGGCTCTAAACACCCTTATTTCATCCAACAGCTTCCACCCATCGATCAATATTACAATCCACGATGGCGTCAATCATCCCGTCCCGCACCCTGCTTTTCCAGTCCAGCCCACATTTAAATTAGGCCTCTCTAACTGGAAGGTCGCCTCTACTTTGTGGAGCTCTCAAAAGTCCCTATTTTCTTTCTTTGGATGGCTTAAAATCGGACGCTACAACCCAACGCTGTTTCTTTTTTTTCCACCCAGAAAACGGCTTGATGTGGGCCCGTGAAAATGATCGATTGGGAGTTTAATAATTGATGTGTGAGGGGGAAAGATAGGGGCGTAAACAGTGCAGCTGTGGTTTCAGAGCCTCCTCTTTTCGTTAAGCACATCAGCGCGCGCGGGGTTGTAAGTACCGAGACCCGCGTGTAGGAGCATCGCGCGCGCAATTCCCCCGGTGGGAGAGCAACAGACGCTTTTTTTCGCCCCGAGGCTATTTGGTTTAACCCCCCCCCCCCCCCCGGGGCTCTGAGTGGCTCGTTCCTGACGAAATGACATATCACGTCTTGCATCATTATCTGCAAAAAACCGCCGTGAAAAACCCCGCCTGACACGTGTCAATAAATCCCTCCATTCAATTAGATGAAAGTCAAATGTTTGAGAGGGAAATTCTCAATCCACAGAGCGGGGGAATAGCAGGGAGCGTCGTTTGGGGGGAAATTAGAGGTAAGAATCGTGGTTTTGGAGCTTCCCCTCCGCTCGTGACGGGTAAAAACCCTCCACGGACGCGCGTGACCGGGACTGAGACAGACTGCGACTGCGCAACATTGTTCAGACCGATCCGTGCGTCCTGAATCTGGATCGATTTTCCATTCCTCGGCCTCTCCTTTCCATCTTTGGAG